TAACTAGGTTCTTCAGAAATGGATAATTCTCATTGCGTTTCAGTAGCGGCGAATCACAGATGCTAATCCGTTGCGTCAAATGAATTTCCTTTAACTGGTGAGGGATCCATAAATCAAGTTTCTTGACATAACCAAAGGTTTTTAATTTTTTTTTTCAATGTATGTATGCGACACATTGAGCTTCTCTGCAATATCTCGTGTTGTGCTGTGACGATTTGAATCGATAATGGCCTTGATATGGGTTTCATCCACTTCGACTGGGCGGCCAGATCGTTGTGAATTGTTCAGTGAAAAATCACCGGAAGGAAATCTTTCAAACCAATTTCGACACTGCCTTTCTTTTAAGGCTTCATCTCCATATACGGCACTTAACTTCTTTTGTGCTTGCGATGCGTTCTTGCCTTTTCGGAAGTAATACAATAAAATGTGTCGGAAGTGCACGTCCTGTTCTTTCCTTTTTAAATTGGGATAAAAACAAAACTAAAGAATTAAACAAAAAATTTTTTACTAATTAACCTAGAAGCCCATACAGTAAGAAAAAAATATAGGTTAGATGCTCTCTCCACGTTAACAAAACAAAAGAAAGTATAGAGTGAATCTGTCAACAAAACGACAATGACTTAGTTGCCAACCCAATATAAGAGACAGACAAAAGGTACGACGAGTACTATGAAAAAGATCGAATATGGCATGCAGTGTTGTGAATAAATTAAACAATAATAATTGAAAATTAGAACCATAATTCCACTCTTACCGATGTAAAGTTTTGTTTTTGTGAAGAAGAAATTATAAAGGAGGAAAAAATATGCAAAATGAACAGTCAATTATATTTTATTATTTAAATTGAAAAAAAAATAAATAAGATTTGAAACCAGAGTGAGCAGAGAAGGAAACGCATGCTCACTCGAACATTTATTTGTGCAGAGATACCACGTCGCATCCCCAATAATGTTGTTCCATGCGATACGTCTGTATTCTCGATAGCTTCACAATAACTTAGCTAGGTCTGGTGGGTTATCCAAACTTGGTGGAATCTGCCACAGACATGGGTATAGTCAAGGCTACACATTTTTGGGGAAAAATCAATCTCAGAGTTCATGGAGGAAGAAATATGCAAAACAAAATATCAATCATTTCTAACTTTTAAGTTTCTAATTTTAAGCAGAGTGCGTAGAGGAGCAACTAAATTTGCTCCGGAACAATTTGTGTGGCGTGATATCAGAATCTGCTGCATACGAGGGAATTCGGGCAGAAATGATCGATTGTGCTCAGGTAATTCTTATGCTTGAAGCACCATTCACCAAATACTATTTGCTAGTCAAACAGGAATTTACCTGGAAAAAGAAATCCTTTGCTAAAGCTTCGGCTCAACTTATTGACTTGCCAATGTCTCTTGGTCGCAAATCCTCCATACTTGAAATACCCATGTCTAGAAATCACTAGGAAACATCTGTAATATTACTGGCTAGTTAAATGGGGATAAGATATACCGTTTCTACGGGCAAACAGGTCGGTGCTCTTTTGATACCAAACAAGGTGTGTATAACTAAAAATGATATGGTAAATTTGGCTGTCGAAATTCCCTTGACAGAGTGAAAGTCAACAGATTTAAATGTCAGCGCAATACTTGCATCGACAGGCACTGAAATGACGACTGTTCTCTCAGAGGATACTGGAATTCAGATTGTTGATATGAAGGACCTAGAGGAAGTGGTGATTCAGTATGGTGATGAAGTCTATATTGCTGATGTTACAGCTTCTAAACCAAAATATATTGGTGATAGCTATGGCCATGTAAGAGATCATAATGTCACAAGTTCAACTTCTAATAAGAGAAGAGAAATAATCGTTATATCGGAACCAAAAAGTTAGAACGCGCACAACTGAATCAGAAGGCCACAAACCTTCTGAATCAAAGTGGCGATCTAAGAGAAATTTACTCAACTTTGTCGTCCTTAGTTTCATAACCTCGGTTACGAATGGGAAGTGCATTGGGAACTCCTATTCACTTAGGAAGGCAAATGAGCTCCTAACAGACAATAACTGCTATAATCAATCAATCTCCTATAAAGACCTGTGAATGTGGTCGTCAATACACGGTCGGTGAACTAGAACGACAACTAATTTCAATAGAATCTGGTGCATTTGGAGCGTTACATCGCGTAAGTTCTCAATTGTCAACAAATAAGCCCTTACGACATAGAACCACAACCTTCAATACGTTCAGTTCTCAAGACAGAGCTGCTGCAGAAACATCCAGAATTACCTCTGCCCACATTGGTGAGCGTGGAAGACATTTCACATTCACAGAACTCAGTAACCCACCTGCTATCACTTCTCAATATTCACCATCGCAAGGTCTTTAGAGCAGTCTGGTATTTGATGCAATTGTGGACGTCATCTTGCAGCAGTGAGTGCAGGTAGTTCTCCGGTGGAAATCTCTTGCAGTTATTGTGGTAGAAGAAATTTCATGATTGTTAGAGAACTGGGAAAAAATCACTATTCACTTGTGATTGTGGATGACAGTATGGTGCTATTAGCATGCTTCCTACCAAACTTACATATCCCTCATGTAGACCTGTCGTTCAAGTTGTAGTAGACGCGATTTCCATTTAAATTCGAGTTTATGAATCATACTACATTTCTTGCGAGGCTGTTGGAATAGAGGCTGGTTGTGAGGTGAGACTATTCAATGGACACCAGACTTTCAAGNCTATAAAGACCTGTGAATGTGGTCGTCAATACACGGTCGGTGAACTAGAACGACAACTAATTTCAATAGAATCTGGTGCATTTGGAGCGTTACATCGCGTAAGTTCTCAATTGTCAACAAATAAGCCCTTACGACATAGAACCACAACCTTCAATACGTTCAGTTCTCAAGACAGAGCTGCTGCAGAAACATCCAGAATTACCTCTGCCCACATTGGTGAGCGTGGAAGACATTTCACATTCACAGAACTCAGTAACCCACCTGCTATCACTTCTCAATATTCACCATCGCAAGGTCTTTAGAGCAGTCTGGTATTTGATGCAATTGTGGACGTCATCTTGCAGCAGTGAGTGCAGGTAGTTCTCCGGTGGAAATCTCTTGCAGTTATTGTGGTAGAAGAAATTTCATGATTGTTAGAGAACTGGGAAAAAATCACTATTCACTTGTGATTGTGGATGACAGTATGGTGCTATTAGCATGCTTCCTACCAAACTTACATATCCCTCATGTAGACCTGTCGTTCAAGTTGTAGTAGACGCGATTTCCATTTAAATTCGAGTTTATGAATCATACTACATTTCTTGCGAGGCTGTTGGAATAGAGGCTGGTTGTGAGGTGAGACTATTCAATGGACACCAGACTTTCAAGAAATCAACTGTCCCAACACACAACCGACGATATGACCTCAGACTTGATGGACACTCCAAATCGGCTTAGAAGATAGCCATCAAAAAAACGTACCCACTCTAATGATTCGCATGGAAGACCCAGAACTGCAAATACTTGTGATTGGTTCAGCAGATCCTGATGATCAGTGTAGTTATGAAGCTAGATCTGGGAGTTTATCCAAATACAAGGGAATTCGCAACAGAGATTTCTGAGCATAGGCAAAGCTTATTACCGCAACAATCCGCTATATTTTCTGGAGCAAATACCAAAACAAAGACAAACATTGATAACTTTAGATAGTGTGATCGCGTTATGGAATGTCCTCTCAGCATTCAAGAGAATTTTGATCAGAAATGTTGGTTTGAGTCAAAAAAGTCTTTTAAGTGTAGCATTTTGCATTAGATGCACTGTGACACTCATTAACAAGACAACTTATTAGCAATTTAAATACTAGACTATATACAGAATGTGGAATCGCTCTTTTAGTTTGTTATAATAAAGGATAGCTGATGTGTTACTTTAAGCATTGGATTGAATGGTGAATGGTTAGTTAAACATCAGCTAAAGCAAATTCGTTAAATGTAGATTTTTCAAGCAACACTAACCGTCTTTATTCTCTTGATAAAAATATTCTCCTCCACCACCCCTCTTAGAGTGGAATTTGTGTCGAACTAAATTAATGAGTATACTACTCTCATTACCTTTGTAGCGGATTGCTACTTTATTAAAGCCTGACTGACTCAGAAATCTCTATGGCAGATCCTCCTACATCTAGTTAGACTCCCAGAACCAGCTATGCTATAGCCCAGCAATAACGGAAACAGACGTGTAGCACGGAGCACGTTTATTCAGTACGGGTATTGCTGGTAAAGAGTGTTCACGCAGGGAGGTACTCATGATTAGGATGGAGGATTAGGTTAAACAGATGTTAATGATTGGTCACTGTTAGTACGGTCGCTGCACACAGAGTTATACGGCCGCACCTCCAATCTTGGCGAGCAGACATGCAGGCATACGATGACGCACACATCGATAACGCGTCCCACACCTTCCATATAGTATTCAGTATCAACTCAGGAAGAGAAATAGAACTGAGCAGGTTAAAAAGTGTTCGTTAAATGAGCTCTTGCTTATTAATTGTTTTTCCGAATTGATTGAATACAAATATACAATTATTAAAATTTTAAATTCAATATTAATTATAAATGGATTACATTCGTGGAATAATATCTTTTAATCATCTATACATTTCAACTATTTATCGTATCTGCCCTTAATTGTTTCCTCTAGTGAGTTTCAGNTGAAATATCACTCTAGTTGAAATACGCAATTTTTATGTAATCATGACAGTTTGTTGGCAGTACAAGAGTTGACGCGATATTTGAAGAATTGGACAACTATGAACCAGGAATTGTCTACTTAAACCAATGTATTAACGTCAATTAGAGCTGTAGTTAAACAATTTTTTCTTTTCATTCTTTCTCAAATTTCCATGGTCTCACCCTCTTAACGCGTTTCTAATTTAAATCTTTCAAATCATTTGGTCGTGAGATTAGAGTTCTTAACCTTTCGTTTAAAGGACCATCACAGCCATACAATATGGCCATGTCTTGTACAAATAAGTGAATAAGTTTAAGTCCTATGGTTCTTAGTGAAGATATGCCGAAACGTGTCCTTCGTTGAGCTGCCAAATTGCAGGCGCTTAAAGGCCACTTCCGTAATGTTTGATAGCACTGACGGCTTTGGTATTTTCTGTACGATCCTGAATTGTTACAATGATTGAAAAATGAAATCAAAGCGAAGTTGGAGCTTGTAGCGGATTGCTACGCTAGTTAAAGCCAGACTGACTCGGAAATCTCTATGGCAGATTCTCCTACATCTAGCTAGACTCCCAGAACCAGCTAAGCTATAGCCCAGCCATGAAAGGAAACAGACGTGTAGCACGGAGCACGTTTATTCAGTACGGGTATTGCTGGTAAAGAGTGTTCACGCAGGGAGGTACTCATGATTAGGATGGAGGATTAGGTTAAACAGATGTTAATGATTGGTCACTGTTAGTACGGTCGCTGCACACAGAGTTATACGGCCGCACCTCCAATCTTGGCGAGCAGACATGCAGGCATACGATGACGCACACATCGATAACGCGTCCCACACCTTCCATATAGTATTCAGTATCAACTCAGGAAGAGAAATAGAACTGAGCAGGTTAAAAAGTGTTCGTTAAATGAGCTCTTGCTTATTAATTGTTTTTCCGAATTGATTGAATACAAATATACAATTATTAAAATTTTAAATTCAATATTAATTATAAATGGATTACATTCGTGGAATAATATCTTTTAATCATCTATACATTTCAACTATTTATCGTATCTGCCCTTAATTGTTTCCTCTAGTGAGTTTCAGGTTGAGATAATAACATTTAGATTTCCAGCCATTCACAAATTAAATCCGTAAAAACAAACAGCCAAATATGTCGAGAGGCCCATTTTTCTAAGCATTCGATTAAGGGCACTTCGAGCAGAGTGATTGGTGAGAGGCTGCTTTTTTCAATTCCTCAGGGAAACTTCGAGGTTTGCATACGGCGTGCATTCAAAGATTATGAGACGTAAATAACAACTGGGATGTAATGTGTTAACCAATTCAGAAAACCACATGTTGCCGCCGTGTGCTGTTTAAGACATTTAACGAATAAATAAAGTCAGACTAATGCACAATGCAATAAACCTAGTATTAGTTGGGTTGAGTTGTAGGTAAATGATTCAAGTAAAACAGAGATATTTTGGTCTATTTTCTCCTTTTATTTTAATCCATGACTTCTTCTACAATATCTATTTAGCAGAAATGGAAGAAATCTTTGAAATGTAATTTTATTTAACTTGCATGTTGATAGCCGCACTGAAGGTGCATTTCATGTTCAATGTTGTCCCTACGTAGGCAATCAACAGGTGTAAGCAACAAAATTCTGGAGTGATCGTGCAACTTATTTGTTATCATTTGTTCATCCCTAAATACCCAGTGAGATCAATCACTGCACTCCAATTATTTCAATAATCTTTGTCAAGTCCAGTGTTCAATATATTTACATAGGAGCTTTTAGTATTTTATTGATTTCTTCTCTATGACACTTGCATCAGAATTTTTCCGAACTCTAAACCAGTCTAATTCTTTGGCCAGATCCACAAGCAATCTACATTCCGTCTTCAACTAACCTCATCATCTCTCTATCTAACTTTGTACCTCACATCTTTTCTTATCCAAAATTAACCTTAATTCCTCTCTATTATTTCTAGACCAACGGATTCAATTCAGAAACAGGTGAATTGAATTTTCAGTCAAGATTCTTCGTTATCAAACTCTTTTCTACACGTACGTGTAATACATCAGTTAAAGTCTCACAGATTTTTTCAGTGCATCGTTTCTTACATGTTTTCTCCATCTCTTAATAGACACGGATATAGTCAATAAAAAAACGTCGAATGTGAGTTTTTTCCAACTTAAAGAATGAATTATTCCATTCACCAGCTGACAATTACGTTTTGAATTGAATTTGACCAATCATTCTTTTCATTTCGTGCTAATAATTAGTGGGCTTCTAATATTCAACATTGAATTAAGAAGTTACTTTTCATTTAATGACATCAAATGTAATTTGTTTTGACAAGGTTAAAAAAAGACATTTCAAAGTGTTTAAGCGCCCATCTAGAGCATAAAAGCCAACCTCGAAAATAGATTCGAAGAGGATAAAAGTGCCCCTTTTTATATTTCAAGTAGCCAAAAGAAGATTGATTTCTTGAATATATTTGGGAGATCTAAGATGCTTCATTGATCGACAATGATGACTGCTAATTATTAACATGGCATCGAGTCCAAGAA